GAAAGTGCTCGAGTTTTGGGTCTTATTTTAAGTTTATTACATTTAAATGAGTATTCTTAAAATATTTCATAAAATTCATGCTGAAAATAGATTAAGATAATGTACTTTAGTAGTGCTGATTGTAGTTTTTTTAATGGTATGTTGTTTTCATAGGATTTTGAATATATCTATTTTGTTCCTCACTATGTATTAGGAAGAAGAAACTGCAAGTTTCGGAAGTCCTCAAGACACAAAAATGCTTGTTCTGGTGAGAATAATTTATGATATTATCAGTTCACACAAAATAAAAAGTAGGCTTAGAATGTGATTGATGTGCATGCACTTGGCTACTAATGGTTTCATAATATGGAAAGAAGATTCACACATGGAATTTATTGAACTAAACTTTTTAAGTTCTGAATCATAGTATTAAAATCTATCTATATATATTTTTATCTGTACAGTTAAATAATAGTCATGTGAATGGTAGCTGAAAGGTATAAAGAAAATCGTGTATAAATAGCTGCAATAAGAGTGTAAAATGTTAAATTTTTTATCTTTATTTAGAACAAGTGGGAATAAATTTAGAAAAGATTTTCACTAGAAATGGAATATGTTGGAGTTGAGAAACATTAAAAATTTTATTACAACATTGAACTTTCATATAGTGATGTCTCATGAATCACATATAGATATCATGGACCAAAGTAGTGGTTCATAATAGGGATTGCAAGGAATTGCATGAAACCGTAATAGAATGTATAGTTAAAAAGCACCTTAAACAGTAAAGATTCACTTCAAACAACACTTTGAAACCTTTACTATTGACAGCTAAGGCTGTACACGTATAAAAATGCACAAAAAATGCATGCATTTTAGACTTGCAAGGAAAAGAAAATCTGCTCAAAATGGCCCATTTGTAATTTTTCCTCTTATTATTCTCTTGCCAGCCTATAACAAAAATGGCTGGGTATATTGCACCCAAACCTTTTGTAGAATACTAAATAAGGTACTGTAAATGATGTTATAATTATCCCTTGAAGTTAGCTTTCTTACAAATATATGGTGTGCCTTTAAAGAGCTTGAGTACACAGTGACTGTAACATGTAGATATGCTCAATGCTTTGTGCATTATACAGTCAGTGTCTTTATGGAGCCAAACCGCTATATTATGTATAAAGTGAAGGAATAAAAAAAAATCAATACATATAATATTAAATTTCATTACACACATTCTAGAATAATTATTTTAAAAGACACGAAGAGTGTAACATGTAGATAAACTCAATGCTTTGTACACTATACAATCAGTGTCTTTAGGAAGCCAACCCCTATATTATAAACAACATGAGTGTAACATGTAGATAAACTCAGTGCTTTGTACACTATACAATCAGTGTCTTTAGGAAGCCAACCCCTATATTATAAACAACATGAAGACTGTAACATGTAGATATGCTCAATACTTTGTACAATATACCATCAGTGTCTTTAGGGAGCCAATTCTAGGTAACAGCATGGAGCCAAATTAGGGGTTTGTAGTTTCAGTAAATAATGTCTATAGTATAACCAGCCTTGTTTACTTACTTTTTTATGATTCCTATTTGCAGGGTTTTAAATTCCCAATTTTTCATTTATCTTCTTGTTATATCCAGACCATAATCAAAGTTTCATCTAAGCTTATTCCAGTCTTCTTTTAAGTCATAAACATCGCTTAGCACGTGTGGAATTGAGGTCACTGTCCGTTGGAGAATAATCAGTCTTCAGAAATTAAATATAATTGCTATCTTTTTGATGTTAGCACTTTAAAATAAACCTTCATTTTCCATTTTGTTACTAATATACAAAACAGTAAACTACTAAGTGTCAACATAAGGTATTCATTTCTTGCACTGTTGGACAGATATCATTGAGCTCTCTAATATTTATTAACATGTTCTATAATAAAAAGAGTTGATTTATTTCTTGTTATTCAGAACTAACCCCATTAATACATTATTCAGTCTTTTTAATATTGATATATAAATGAGGTCTTTCTGTATGCTATAAATTCCAGTGCCAGATAAATATTAACGTAAGAATGTTAGTTAAGGGGCCTTGATAATTGTATTTACAGGCTCTGAAATTAATGCTAGCAGACTAACAAGTTGCTGTTCCAGTTTTACTGGTACACATTTCAGAAGCAAGATACATGGATTCTTATTGTCATATTTCAGTACACTCATGATAAGTGCATTTCAGTAATTTATCTTGCAAGATTGTTAGTAGAGAAGGTTACTGTAATTGTGATTAACAAGATCGTTTCACTTTTGATGCTGTGCTGATTTTGTAATCTTCATTTAAACAGCATGGCGTACCAAAGTTAAATATTGGAAAATGAGGATAGCAAGACTGCAGCTTCAAGTTCTTAGACCGGGCCATATCAGG